TTTATGATTAAGGCAACTCCAGTTCTCTTCAATTTGTCAATCCCTGCATAGAAAACCATGTGATTGACAGATTCAGTATGGGTAATACTAGTCCATTTCAGGTCAGTAATGTCTGGGATATCAATGTTTATGCATTGCATTTCACTTTTTACAATTTCCAATATTTTTAGATTCACATTTCATACATTTCCTGTTCCAATTATTAATGGATGTTTATAACTGTTAATGGATCTATTCATTTTGAGTTGTGTTCCATCAGTAAATGAAGGTTCCAAGGGATTTACTTCATTAGTGTCATCACAGTCAACTCTACGTTTAGGAAGCAGCTCTTTCCCAGTCGTGTTTTGAGTGTCTTCCAACCTGAGGGGCTCATCTTCCTGCACTACATCTGACAATATTCTTGTATTTTTCATCATGTTTCAGTATTCAATAATATGTTGCTGGCATTGTTCCACTGCTAGTCATAATTTCTTCAGTGATTATATATTTGGAACTAGTCTGTCTCTCTTTCTTCCTACTCATACTGGGACCCTACATATAGTTTTCAAGAAGTGAGTGGTGGGTTTAAATTTTCTCTCTCATACTTTAGACATATTATAGGAGGGACCAGTCTCTGGAGATGTATATCATGCTTATCCTACAGTATCAAACCAGACCATTAAGTTTAAACAATACATTTATTATTGTTGTTATTGTTAAGAGCCAATTGAGTCGGTACTGATTCATAGAGACCCTATGTACAACAGAATGAAACACTGCCTGATCCTGGGTCAACCTCACAATCATTGCTACTAAATAAGTTTAATATATATTAAAATCCAAACATCAAACCTGTTGCCATCCATTTGATTCTAAAAAATTGCAAACTCATATGTTGCAGAGTAGAAGAACTGCACTCTATAGGATTATTATAACCATGACCTTTCAGAAGTAGATCAAGAAAGTCTTTTCTCCCAGATGTCTCTGGGTAGGTTTGAACTTTCATTCTTTCAGTTAATAGTCATATGTTTCACCATGTGCATCACACCCAGAGATTCCCAGTATTAAGAAGATTTAAATATAGAATAAAAATTTTTAATTGAAGATTTTTCAGAGATTTAGAAACTACTATAAGACACAAGAGTAATGGATTTGGGAAGAACTTAATTCTAGAACTATAAACTATAAATGTCAAAGCTGAAATGAAAGTTTTCATGAACAGATTAATGCCAGGTGAAGTGAGAATTACTGGATGATGTATGACAAGTAAATATTTAACAAGAATCACACGTGCAAAAAAAGGATATAAAATAAGGAAAAAAGCTAAAAGATATGAATATAAAAAATATATATAAGCAAAAACTATTAGAAGTCATCACAAGCAGACTTCTCCAAGAAATTAATTCAAAATGGTTCAACTCCAGAATGAAGCTCAGAGATACAGTAAAGAAAGAAGAAAACAGAAAAAGGTAACTATGTGTATAATGGTAAATAGGAGTCTTGGTGTGGTGTCGTGGGTTAATATGCTAGATCACAAGGTTGTTTGAACTGCAAGGTTGGCAGTTCAAGCTCACCAGCTGTTCCTCAGAAAACTATACAATGTTGCTATGATTCAGAACCAGCTTGATAGCACTTAACAATAACAATGCATATTTTAAGATAAAGTATTAATAAAATAATTCTATGAATTTAAATATAAAAAGGATGAAAGTATACAAAAACAGTTCAAAGGTCTGCAAGGCCCTTGTAATAATTAAGAATATAGTAAAAGTACCTACAAACATCAAAATTTCATAACTGAAATTTATATGTGATAATCAGTAAAAAACAACAAAAAGTGTTCATCTATAAAGTTAATAGAAAAACAAATGAAATAATGAAAAATTAACTGCTCAAAACAAAGAAATAGATATTAAACTCAGAATATGGATTTAAAAGCCCAATTAAAACATATAGATTATCAATACAAAGACATAAAGGATGAGTTGCCTAGAAAAAGCTATGAGAGTACAGTTTTTATATTAAGCCAGTTTTTTTGTTCTTTCTAATAAGCAACAGATGTTGACTGTTATTTTCATTTGTACTTTGCTATGTTGTTTTTCACACAGAAGGCTATATGTTAGCAATAATAGTTGGTATTACATTTGAAAAATTCTTTTATCATGGATTGATTGAATGTATACAGAGCAGATCAGTTTTCTATTTAACAATTCATACATATTTTGTTTCATGTCATAGATTGTTATCCCCACAATGTGACATCATTTACCCTACTTCCTGCTAGTGTTTCCTGTTTCCATTACTCCATCCTTCCTAATCCTTCTGAACTTTAACAACTGATAACAAGGCACCATCATCAAGTTCTTCTGGTCTCAGGGTCTGATGTTTACATGATCTATTAGTCTATTAGAGTAATAAATATTGCAATAAATATTTGTAGCATTTCCCAGGAAGAGAGAGGTCACAGATGAAAAGTTGTCCTAACTGGAAGAACTGTACCCTGGACATTTTAAACCCTGAATTGTAACATGCTAACTTCTCTACTAACTCCATAACTGTGAGTGTGATGTCTGATGTTCTCTGTGGCCAATGCAAAGAATTAAGAAACCCAGCTGAGTAAGTAGAGTGGGCTGTGGGAGGAATGGTTGCTAACAGATTTTACAACTAATAAAAGCAGTGCTGGAGTCCTGGTGTGGTGCTGTGGGTTCATGTGCCAGACTGCAAAGCTGTTTGAACTACAAGGTTGGCAGGTGAAGATCAACAGCTGCTTCTTGGAAACCCTATACAGAGTCATTATGGGTCGGAATCAACTTGACAGCACTTAACAACAACAACAACAACATACTTATCTAATGAAAATACTTATGACATTGTAGCTACCCTTTTCATATCATGTATGGCAATTGAATGCAATACTGAAAGCAATTACTTAACTACATGAATAAATTTAGAAAACAGATACCAGGCCAACTCAATGGAAGAGATCCATATTTATGCAATTTCCAAAGTAAGGTTATCCAACAAATTGTATAAATTATGGAACTATATCAGTAACATCACACAGGAGTAAAATACTGCTGCATATCATTCAAACAAAATATTGACATCATTTATCTCAATTTATTTGGAGTCAAAATAAATGTTTATGGAAGAATAAAATGACAAATTGAACTGAACAAAACTGCTTCAAAGACCATTTTGAAGTATTAAACAGCAAAGATATCACCTTGAAGACTAACATGTGCCTGACCCAAGCCATGATATTTTTCAAGGGTCATATAGCCATGCAAAAGCTAGACATTAAATAAGAAAGTCTGGAGATGAATTCATACTTTTGAATTATGGTATTGGAAGAATACTGAGTACATCCTGGCCTGCCAGAAGAGCAAACAAACCTGTATGTTCAAACAGACTTAGTCTCACATACTTTGGACATGCTATCAGGAGGGGAGGGGCCAGTCACTGGAAAAGGACATTATGCTTGGTAATACAGAGGGTCCATGAAAAAGGAAGACCCTCAATGAGATGAATTAACATAGTAACTGCAACAATAGGCTCAAACAGAGAAACAGTATGTTAATGGTGTGGGACTGGGCAATGTTTCTTTCTCTTATGCATAGAACAACTAGGAATCAAAACCAATTCTGTGGCAACTAACAATGATTAACTTATAAAATAAACAGTAAGACAAAACCATACTGAAATAGTTACATAGTAAGCAACTTACCTATATACAAAGAAGATTTGTGTGTGGGTACAGATTCATCAATAAAAGCTGTTCCTAGAGTGTAGAGAGGAGTTCCTCCTACTCCCAGCAACAGTTGTCCCAAGATGAAGACATACAAGTAGTTAGAAAGCAAAGATGTTGAAGGGTTACAACTAGTGTTGTTCCTCGTGGCTAAGCAAGTATCTTTAGATAAAAAAGGAGAGGGGAAAGAAAGATTAAAATTGAGGACTGAATAGAAAATACAGCTAGTAATTTAACTATGCATCTTACAAAATATAATCACAAATTATAACCTTCTGTACTCCTTGCAATCCATTTGAAATATATATATATTACTTAAGAAAACTTACAAAATGTAACCATGTCAAAATACATAAATGGAGAACAAAACTGAGAAACATTAAATGAAAATTGACTACTTATGAAAACAGCATATTTGAAACAAGTGGTGCCAGGAGAGCAGAAGTTTTTCATATTAAGAATAAGAAAACTAGTTTTTGCTTCTTTCAAATACAGAAATACAATAGACCACCATAGTGAATTTATCAATCACACCTTGAAAACATTTAAAGTGTACTTAGATTATAGGATTGTTGTTGTTGTTTAGGATATAAGGATATTTTGGGCAAAATAGTTATTTCCAGTATTCACTAATGTGCATATATTTTAAAGCTACAGCTGAATTTTTGTAAAGCTCAGACATTTTATTAAATTTCTTTTTAGAAAGCAATTTCTGAATCTGTATGATATACTTTCGGATATAGTCTAGGAAAAAAATAGTTATATTGTAAGATTTTATCAAACGTTTTCTTTTAAATGTTCTATCCAATGCAAAGTCTAGCCATCACAGCAAATACTTAGTTTGTAAACTCATCTGATAATTTTAATAAACTGAGATACTTATTAGGTCACTCATTTTTTCAGTTTGCCATACTGTGGTGGCTTGTATGTTGCTGTCATGCTGAAAGATATGCCACCGGTATTTTTTTTTTTTTTTTTTTTAAGTTTTTATTGTGAAATATGTGGGTTTGCATGGGAAAACATCAGTTTTACATTCATCCTATCATATTTTATTTCATTGCAATTATTACAATCACCTCCATGTATCACCAAACAATCAAAGGGTACACCCCACAGGCCTGCTCCCCGGCCATCAGCACACAGCCCCTTTCCCTCCATGAGCCCAGTGTCCCCAGCCACTCCATCTGTCCATGTCATTGTCTCTGCCTCCATTTCTGTCATCACTGCTTCTCTGGATAGGATGACGCACTCCGCTCTTCTCCCTTGATCGTCCCAGGGACCTCTGCTCCTGGACTGCAAAATCAATCACTACCTTCCTTTTGTTATAAAACATCTACCCCTACATTGCTGACCCTCACAGTCAGTCCTGATAGCAATTATTCACTGTTGTACCACAAGAGTCCTATCCCCATCTCCTTTCATTAGCCCCATCCCAACATATTGGAAACCATTCAGTGAAGATTTACCTTCACCCGCCCCATCTGGAACTAAGTTCCCTCTTGAAAACATGTAAGCCAGTCAATTTTTGCCTTTGAAGCCCCGCAATTTTGAGTAGCCAATGTCTAAGTTGCCCACTCTGTCAACCCTGTGTACCAAGGGAATGGGAGTGATCCTCACTGTAGAGATTTGTTCCCTTTTTTGAGCTACTACATCCATAAATATAGGTTGCCACCGGTATTTTAAACAACAGCAGGGATATCCATTATGGACAGGTTTCAGTGGAGTTCCCAGACTAAGAAAGCCTAGAAAGGAGGTGAGATGGAATCACTTCTAAATGGTTAGTCACTAGATATATTATGATTATCAGCAGAACGTTATCAGGTACTGCAGCTTGGGTTGTAAGGCACTCAAAATAGGACTGAGGAAGAGGTACCTCCTCAAAGCCAAGTTGTTCTTAATGACTGAAATAGAGCAAGACATTTGAGACCTTCATTTTCTGTTGAGGCACAATTCAAAATGTGAGGAAACAAATACAAACATTATTAATAACCCAAATGCAGGAAGTTTGATTTTCTTTTAAAGCTCAAACTTTTTATAAATTTATTTTTTGTAACTAATTTCTAAATCTCTATAATTTTCTTTAGAATGTCATCAAATGAGATGATGAAGTAAAAAGAGCTGAACAGGAGATTTTAAAGTGTAACTATAAAATTAAAATTAATTCTTTCAGTAAGTATTATAATGAAATGTGCAAAGTCTTGGAATTAGAAAACCAAAGAAAAGAGAAGACTCAGCATTTCTCGAGCTAAAAGAATTGAAGAAAACCTTCAAGCCTTGACGTAAAATACTGAAGGGAGTTCTGGTGAGGCACTATGGGGTAAAGCACTGCACAGGAAGTTAGGTTTGGACCATAAGGCCGGTAGTTCACACTCACCAGCAACTCCTTGAAAACTCAGAGTCACTATAAGTCAGAAATTACTGAATGGCATGTGAAAACAACAACATGAACAAAATATGAACTGTTTCAGAAAGCATCAAAAGATAATGGAAGGGGGTGGCGGGGTTTGATGGCAGCTAGGGTAGTGGTGCAGTGAAGTTCACCGGCAGCCATACCACAGAACACCAGGCAAAGCAGATCCAGGCAGAGCTCCAAAACTCAGAACCACATAGCTAGGAATATTTTTAAAGTGAAGGCTTATAGCTA